TATAGAAGATTTGTATTAATCTTGTAATTCGTGATGATGGATGAAATTATNNNTTTTTTTTTTTTTTCAGAGTCTTTAATCTAGAAGATGATTGATAATGCTTGCAACGTTTCAAGACTGGCCTATATATTCTCGATTCGGTTGATTACTTCATTTTATTCCGATGGAATTATTTTGTAGAGGCTTGGATATATATCGGTCGAGTAATCCAACAAAAGGGGCGTTTTTACGTGTTCTGGGAGCCGTGTGCCAACTTTAAGAAAAATGGACAAAAAGTTGCGATAAATTTTTATGGATCGCATTTACTTCGGCCCACGAATTATGTTACACCGCAGTAATAATATTATATTACCTGAATACATACAATTATGTATATAAGTGTAACGTTATATAGAAGAAATAATATTTGTATTTAATAATCGATTTCTAGGGAAGTTAAAACTTTTGCGAATCCCAACGATTATTTTATATATTTTTTTAAACGTAAGAAATCTTTTTTAGAAAAATCAAGTGATTTAAAGAGCATAGAAGAATTAAGAACGAAAAGAAATGGCATCGAAAAAGAATTTTGTTTGAATAATTGATGACTGATCAACTGATCATTCTCAAAACAAGCGTATTTTACAAAACGCCAATTTCAGTGCAATTCCCTCATCGATGCAAGCTATTAGTTTCCGCGATCGATCCGTGTCACACGACACCGCCGTTCATGGTATACCATTCATGCAGCCCGCTGTAAAAAGAGAATACGTATCCGTTCGTTCCACGGAGGAAAGATGCGACCCCCGATAGGTACGATAAAACGATCAAAATTATCGCACCTATGCATCTCTTGAACCTCGGTAAACAAAGACGGTATTATCCAACAAAATAAATAAAAAATAGATAGAACAAATTAATAATTAAATAATTTTTACAATCTCTTTAATATTCTTCGTTAAAGAATCTTATTTTCAAAAGAATTAAAATTTATTATTTTAACAGTTTACTTATGTTACATTTTCAAAGTATAATCAATCTGAAAGAATCTGAAACAAAAGAAAAACAATAGTGGAAGAGAACTGGATAATAAGAAAGGATACGAAATTTAAAAGGATCAAACGATGCAAGGAGACGGGGGAAGAAAAATGAAAAATTCCATTGGAAAAACAATATAATCTCAGAAATATAACGAAATAAAAGAAATAATAGCATACAAAAGAAAGAATAGATAGAGCGGGAGAAGGCAGCACCGCCCAAAAAGCGAAAGACCGACGGAAAGAGCCTCAACCGACACACGTAACCAGAAGGATGAGAAGGAGAAAGACACTGGTCGCCGCGGAGTGTGGAAGGAGGAGGAAGGGAGGAAGGGGAGGAAAGAGCGTGCGAGTATAGCAGCGCTCCGTTGAT